CTATTACATATATAACGAGCGTTCAACGTGTCACGTTCACTTCCAGTCTGGTTTACGTGAGAATCAATTTCTACTATACCAGCAGAGAAAGACGCGGCCTAACCGCAAATGAATACGCGAGAGCAGGAAACTCGTGAGAAGCCGGACAAATTTTTCAACGAAAAAGATCTTGTATCTTCTCGAGGACAACGAGTATCTGAGGAAGAACCGGAGGATCAATTGGAAGCCGTTTTCTACTCGTCCTGGAAGTCACGAGAACGAACGGTGACTAATAATACATCGTGAGTCACGACGTGAACCGTGACATAACCTCGAATATCCTAGTCCTCTCAGCGGTTTCGTTCCCTCTTTCTCCTTCCCGTTACACTTCTCTTCTTCCATCCTTCTCGATCGCCAGGCCCTTTGCCTTTTCCCTTTCCCATGCTCACCTACGCGAATCCTCGAGTCGCGGAACGGCTTGTAAAATATTAGAGGCGGCGAGGCAGTCTCGACAACAAATAATCAGTCGTCGTTTCTCCTATATTGCCGCGTAGGCGGAAGCACTATTATCTACCTTTCGAATCGAAGGGATCGGTGAATCGATCGTTCCGGTAGACTCGTACAAATCCTTCTAGATGGCGTCGTTTCTTTGTTTTTTCTTCGATCGAAGAAATCGTAAATCTTTACGATGGAAGACGTGTATAACACCTCATTTTTCTCAGGTAACGAATTTTCTTCTAATTTTCTCGTTATATAGATTACATATTTCGATAAATCTTTAATCGGAGATAATAACTTTCTAAAGCGTCTCCTTCTGTTAAGAAACACTCTGCACAACAAGATACATAAGTAATCCCGTTGGCGAGTGTGTAAACGTCTCGAGGGGGAAAAAAAATGACCGACTAAATTAATTCCTCAACATCAATGCTCTTAATAGCGTGGCTAACAGGTATCATTCCGATGCGACGGGGACAAAGATTCTTGTCGGCGCAATCTGGTCGACATTTTAACCTGGTATGTTGCCTCGTTACACTAATTAGAGAGCGGAAAGCATCTCTCTCGGAGTATCGGACATTGTATCGAGGATGAGCAGGAAAATTTATCTCGGGAGAATCACCCGTGTTATTCGCCGATCGACGCTATCTCGATCGATTTCTTCTTGCGTCTTCTGGAGCGGAACAACTGCTATCGATAACACGGAAAAGTGATCGAAACAGGTCGGCACGGTGTTTTCAACGCGGACAAAACGAAAACGAGAAACAAAACCCCGTTTACATCAAAGCTGCAAATTTACCGTTGCGAACAACCTCGAGACGATTTTATTAAAACGATTATCGATCCTTTTTTTTCCGCTTCATCGGACTAGAAGCTTTCGGATAAGCGGCGGGAGATGTTAATCGGCCAAAGTAAATGAGGTTTAATTAAGATTTAACGTATGCAGCGGAGCTAATGAAGCCAACGTCCTTCCTCCAACTTCCTTTATACGGAAACTGTTCGTGTTTTCTCCTCTTCCTCGAGAAGTGCTTGTCTCGACGCTTGTTTTAACACGCGTGCCGTTGAACGCAGGACAGTCGCCTCGTCACGCGACGACAGCTTCCAACCGTGCGGTGAACGGAGGACTCGACGATAAAAATCACCGGCCACCGTACGTGATTCGGCCTTTTAACGAGCTACTTTCACGACATTTCTCTCCGCCTCTCGCGCTTATTTGGATCATTGCGCGACGTTTTCAGACGTGCACCGCTCTATTTTCGCCTCGACGGCCTCGTGCCCGCGCATTCGAATCGCGCGTTATCCAAGAACGTCGCGACGAGGAAAGCTTTTTCTTGCGCGTCACTTTTCGATCAAAAGAAGTGCTCCCGCGAAATCGTCTCGTGCGACAACGTCTCTCGTACCCAACTTTGTAAATCGTCGGGTCGAGTTCCCGCGAAACTCTCGAGAAGCGGGACGAGAGGATTTCCTTAAGGAAAATCTTGTGGACCGCGTAATTCTTTCACGCATCTTCTCGACCGAAACTTTTCTCCAGGCTCCTCCTCGTCTCTCCTCCTCCTTGGAACAAAGGAGGAACGGGCTGCTACTCGAAAATTGGAAATTGCGCGATAATTGAAACCATCCTCGAGCGATCCCATCGCCCGACGTAGACGAATTTTCGTACGGATCCCTTCCTTCCTTCCTTCCTTGCTCCGCTCCACGAATTATAATCCCACGGTTGAATCTCGCCGCTTGGGATGGCGTTGTTCACCTTCGAGTACCTGCAGATTATGGGACCCGCTCGAGCACGTAATTCTCCCTCCTTTCACACAAATCTCGACAGGCTTTATTTCCAGAGCAGGTACAAATGCCCCTCGCGGTACCTAGCCTCCTAGGAGAGAATTGCACAGTCCCCTACCAACCATTCGTTCCAAAAGTATCGCGCCACCTCGTAATCGTCATAAATAACGCGATATTCGTATTATAACTGCTATTTCTCTCCTTCTTCGAATCGTGAATTTTTTCCAAGAAACGTAGCAAACCAGCAATTTTACGCGCCAAATGTTGAAAAAGAAAGAAAAATAGGCAGCTAAATTTCAAGATCCAGGGGCGGACTTTCATTCTTCAACTTTCATTCCGCGAGAAGAATAATTAAATTGATCCTTTTACAACGTGCCATTATATTTCTTCCAGATTCATTCATTTCTTTTCCATTTACAATAACGATCGGCCAGTTAACGCGGCAAAGACCCAGAACATCTTTCCGATGTTTCTTTCTCACGAAGAAGAAACGAGTCCGTTTCAAGCGGAAAGATGGATTTTGCCGAGTTTATTTCTCCCCGACATCTCTTCCATTTTCCAGAGACAGAGAGAGAGAAAAGCAAAAGCGTCCATTCGAGAGCCTCTTTCGAGAGAGGAGCAGGATTAATGGACAGCTGACGCGTCTGGACGCGGTCCACCTCCGCGTCCTAATGTCTCGAGATACCGTCGCAGCGACGAGCCAAGACAAAGAGACGCGTGACCCGCGTATTCGTATTCCGTTCGTGGCCCGATTTGGTCGTCGTCCACGATCCGCGATCTCGCCGCGTCTCTGACGACACGAATACGATGATCACGCGACCGTGAAGTGCAGTCGGACGCAAAATCGGCATTTGCCCCCTCCCCCTCGGGACAATGATCGCGCGCCCGCTCCCCTCGAGAAGAATCGCGGCCAGGAACAATGGGCCAGGAAATACGTGGCGAAAATACGGGTCGAAGGGGGACCGTGAAATAACGTTTTCCGCTTAGCAACGATTTCGGTGAATTTGGGGAGAGGGATTTGGAAATGGAATTTGGAGGGAAGAAGAAGAAGCGAAGAGGGTTTTCCTGAGTTCGTGCGGGAAAAGAAAAGAGGTTCGAGGTTGTATGAGCGCCTTAAAAGGTGCACGGGCACGCGCTCCTGCGTGTCTTTCTTGAACGAGAGATCTCTCGTTTCGAGGTGAAATTTTTTTCTCGTGATGAAACACCTCGAGGGAGGTATTACACTTCTTGGAGAAAGAATTCAGATATTTTGAACGCGACGTTTCTGAAAATTAACACGATTGTTTAATAATAAAATTTCTTTCTTCTTTGTTTTCGTTATACTTTACCAATAACTTTTTACTACAACTGGATCGATAGATTTGTTTTTTTTTCATTTCAGGGAATAATGATTCCGTTTAGAAAAAGAAAGGACAGAAACCGACGAGACGAGTTCCAAGTGGCCCCGATATTGATGCCGCGGGGATTAAATAATAAATCGATGGATCGTCACAAGCAACTCGTGTAAAATTTTACGCCAGTGACGGCGGCCAGCGACGGATCCGACAATTTCAAACTGGATCGAGTTTCCTCGATATCGACATTTCCTCGAATCGCGGCCGAGCCGCTCGAAGCGTGTTTTCTTGGCGGAATTGGTGGCGCGCAGAAACGAGAACGGCGCTCGTTAAATAATTATTTTTAGAGGGACGATAAGCGCGGCGACTGGTCGGCAGCGATCGGGCGGTGTGCGTGCGCCGCGCGTCGATGTCACATCTATCAAGCGAATCAATTACAACGGCGTTCCTTGTTTCCTCGCCAACGAGAGCGTGGCCTTTGCTTTCGTTTATAACGGACACCCACGCCGTGTCCGTATACCTCTCCTTTCAATTACCCCCGTTTCATTATTATTTACGAGCTTGCCGAGAACGAGCGCGTCGAAAACTTATTAGGATCGTTTGAAAAACGCCATCTTAACCGATTTACGATTTCCGTAATGTATTTTTACCTTTTCGAAATCCAACGATTAATTGAAAATCTTCAACGAGGGAGGAAATGGAAAATGGATGTCTAAGAAAGATATATCGTGATTTTTACGAAAAGAGTTTCGATATTGCAATTTTTTTTTTAATCCAATATTTCGTTTCAAAGTATTTCGTAAAGGGATGGATTCTATCCCTTCCTTAACGCTGTGGAATAAATGGAATAGAATTATGTAGGGTAGAGACCACTTTGTGTTTACGTTTAACAATTTTTAGAACATCAGGTAAAAGTTCTGAGAAGCTTTCCTCGTTGCTGCGAAGATTAAAAACGCGATTGTTCAAATGTGTAAATTTTAACAACGATACGAAAATTGTGCTACGTCGTTGTAAATCGAGAATCGAATGAGAGGAATGATTGATAATAATAATAAAAAAAACCTCATTCTCGTTCCGAAGAAGCTGAAGCTGGCAAAGTGTTAATGAGCAAACCGACGTGAATGTGAAATTTGCAATCCAGAGATATCTCTCTTTTCCCACGAATGAATAGCGAGACGCTTTTTGCCCGAACCGGATGTAACGGGACACGTGTCGAGCTATTGACGTTTCCCTTCTCATCTTTTTCTAAAAACCGCACGCTCCTTTCGAGAGTCGATCCGCATCCCCCCGTATCGCTTATCACGCGAGACGTTTCGCCTAATAATTTTCATCGAAAACTCGACTCTTGTCAAACGCGACGAATAACTTGCGTATAACGATCCGTTAAAAAGAATGAAAAGGAAAAAAAAAAAAAAACATTCTCTCCTTTCGAGCGAATTTTCTTTCTTTTTTCTTTTTATTCTTCGGTCAGAGAGGCGAGTTTCTGAATCCCAAGTCGCGCGGTCGCTCGAAAAGGAGTGTTTTAATTGGCGGCATAGGCAGAGAAGGGAACTGGTCCGCTCGTTCGTGCGGCAAATTTGCATTCGGCGAAAAGTGGCGAGAGTGGCGGGCAAAGGGTGGAGAGAGAGATATAGGGTAGCGCAGAGGAAGGGGGAGGGTCCCGTGGCACGATCACATTCCCTTTTTAAGGCAATGCTCGGCGAATCGAGGAGATTTAAGGCCTATGCTCGATGCATAAGAGACTTATTAGCGTTAATTAACCGGGCTGCCAGATGATAGACAGGCCATACCTCGATAGGTAGCGATAGGTTGATGATATTCAAGAATCTCGAATGGACCGCCGATTAAATTATATAAACACGTGCCGGTTGAGTGAATAAAAATTATAATATCGATCGACCTCTCGCGGAACGAATAATAAACGTACGCGCGATCTTTATTCCCTCCCCCCTCCTCCATCGAGACGTCCGATTTAATTAATTTCTCGATCGATCGCAAAATTGCTCGCCAAACTTGATTAATGTCCCGCTTCCTGTGGCGATAAACGGTTCGATCAAATCGGGGGACACAACAAACTAAGCGTTTCAGCAACATCAGATCCATCAGAAACATCTGCGTGCCCATTCTATCGCGATCTATCGATCATAACGCGATGACTTCACCGGATCGAGCAACGACACGCTCGAGATAATAATGTTTGATCATCTTCCGCGCGACTTCGCACGGAATGAGTTCTCGAACGAGTTTGCGCATCGACTCTTCAATTAACATCCATCGTGCGTCGATTTAATTTTTTAATGGGGAAAAAGAAAGAAAGAAAAAAGAAGGAAAAGAAAATTTTGCGTTTCTTCCTCCCTAACTTTGTTTTCCGTGTGCGTCGTGGTTGCGACGGATCCACGGAGCGGAATCTAGCGGAAGAGCGGTTAAAAGGAAAAAAAAAATGGGCGAAAAAGCAGACTGTGGCAATAACGCGTTCGATTTCGCTTACGTTCTCGGATAACGGCGGGACAGCGATCACGTACGGCGCGAAGGAGCACGTCAAAGTCCGTTGCTTATAAATATTCTCGCGTTGCTTTTTCCACGCTTCCAACCCGCGACCAATCGAAGATTACATCATTGCTCGACGTTTACACTGGCCGTTAAATATGCATCGTTGCCCCTCCCCTCCTATATACTTCCTAGGATGTTGCACACTCGAGCATATGATCATGTTGACACGCTTGTCGATCTCGGTAATCGGCCGATTTAATAAGATGGAAAATGATGAAGGCGAACGGTAGCTCGACAAAATTCCACTAGTTCCGCGATGAAATTGCTTCGTTTCGAGGCGAGATAGCTACGTTTAATTTTAATACTCTCGTTAGAGAAAGCCTTTCTTGCACCCTTTCGCGATAATATCCTCCCCTCCCTCCCCTTTCTTCCTGTGAATTTTCTCTCTTCGCTTCGGCCGAATCTTTCGAACGAAAATAAAACGTACATTCGTTGGAACGAAAGTTGGCCATTCAGAGGGGAAGGCTAGGCTATCCTTGATTAAAATGATAACGATCTGGAGCAATCTTACTTTTTCTAAAGTTTGCTTTGCTGCTTTCTTTTTTCTTATTTTTTCGACATTTAAGCGCCTTTATTGGCCGATTTCGTGTTCATTCACCTTTGAATTTTGGAGAGATCTTGATGAAGTCTTTTTTCATTATTTATTTCATAATTATTATAAAATTCGAGTCAGGTATTTTTGAATACAAAACGGAAACGTGTAGATATACGTAACGCATATAGTAAGTGATAACAGTGATAACGAAACACTCGACACTCGGAATAGAAGCGTTCTGTGTATGCTCGCAGAAATCGTTACCATATATATGTACGTGTATATATAACGTCCGATCTGTTGATTCTGGGAGACGCCTGGAAATGTGCCTGATATTCAAACGAGAGTTAGTTATCTTATTTGCAAACGTCTTCCGATATCTATTTTTTAAAATTATCCCTTCGGATCCAACCTCGTTGGCTCGTAAGAAGAGTATAAATATATAGAAGGTAATTCCAATTAATAATAATCGAAGAGGGAAACAACCGATACTATGTAAATAACACGTATACAGATCGATTCTATTCTTGTATCCTCGATACACATCCAGCGTGGGAGACGATCGTATGCCTCAAGTAATTGGAGAACCATCGACGTATTGTAACCTCAAAACACTAGTCTCGTGTCTAGCCACCAATAACGGTGAGTGCTCTTAATCCTAAATTGAAAGCAGTATCCGAACACGTGACCCCAGCTGGCTAATTTCCTTCCGGAATCTATTTCCGTTAGATATCGGCGTAAAATTCGGGACAAAGTCACGAAATATAGTGCGAAGATAATTTTGTTTAAACGCGAAATATAGATATTTCAACGAGCGAGGAAAGATAAGTTGTGTTTGCTTTGGCCTAAATGTTCGTCTATCGGGTAAGATTAACATAGTTTTGTATAATCAAAATGGTCGATAACGTGCGTTTACGTTTCACGTATAAAACCAACTGATAAGAAAACGGTTGCTTCGGATCGTGTTTCGTACAGCATGGATATTCAACTTTGCCTCGTAAATCAAGGAGGAAAAAGTTATTTTTATTTGCAATTATTCGATATAGAAAATTTTACAACGAAGAAAGAATAATCGCAAGTTATTTATCTCAAGTAAAAGGGTTGAGAAACACTGCTATAAAGATTTTTTTCAAATTTCTCTTCGAATAATATTATTTGTTATTACCGTTATTGTCGAAGATTCTCAGCTAATTTATTAGGCATGTTACTCGCATAATGCAAACCTACTCCAGATTACATCAAACAGAAAATATATTACCGTTATTATTATACGATCATAAAATACTTGGAAAACGTATACGAACGAAACGTGTATTGTGTATCAGATCCGCGAGGAAAATCGTGAAACAGCATGACGTACCACGACAGAGTCGAAGTGGAAATATTCATGCGGTCGGTTCTCTTGGTCGGTTTGAATACGAAAGAAGGTAAAAGAGCGCGTTAAATCTGTCGAGCGGAGGACGTAAGCTGGTACTTTAAGTAACGAGAAAACTACTTCAACCTTGACTGAACCGTTCTACGTGCGATTCACTTAGTGGACGCGTCGCGAAACCACAACTATCCGTCTGGAATTCAAACTACCTTGACGATCTCTGTTAGATAGATATTATAACTAAGAATCACTATCGAGGCAACGATCTTGCAATTTTTTATTTATATTCGTGACGAACGCGAAAATAGCTAAAAGTAGCTCCCGAAACGTATTTTAAAACGGAAGAAACTTTGAGAAAATACTTTTTAAAATAATTTACCGTAATAGTTTTTCAAATATTTTCGAAATTTTAACGCTTAGCTTACTTTCTACTTCGAGAAACTTTAGACAAATTTCACGTCAAGTTGATTGATAATACGATTGATTTATATTTTTCTTTTTTATCTTCGTTATTTCGAGAATATCACGTGAATTAAAGTTTAAAGTAGCTGCCATAGTAGCTACTTTAATGAAGCAAATTACGAGACACAATCGAACGCCTCCGCTAGATCGATAAAAAAGCACGATAGAAGTTAACCTCAAAATGAACCGGCACGATGGCCAATATGTATTAGCAGGATCATCTTGCGGGACGAGAAATATCTATAGTGTCGCACGTCGGATTTCTTGTCGTCGGTTGACCCGTTCTCTCTGATCCTCTGTTGCTCTCTTTTTCACGGATCCATTCGTCACACTCGCTCCTGTTATCCTATCCTACGCCTCCTTCATAGGCTTTATGCCATGGGAACCGGTATGACCGGAACGAACAGGCGGAATTCTTTCTATGACTGTCAAAACAAGTCTGTCGAGCGTTCCGCTAATTTAACGAACTCGTATCGTTCGGCCTAATCGATCATGCAGGATTTGTTTGCATTTCGTTCAAACGAAGTGACAAAGTTCGACCGAAAGTTTATCGAAACTACATGACTATACGCACGAACAAAATCGGTAATATGAGAATTTTTCTATATTTCATTCTTATTCATACTTTATTTCTTCTTTAAATATTTTTTCAAAATATATCGTTTGTAAAAATGACTGTACTTACGTCTCTCGATAATATATTGTAAACGTTTCACACGTTTGACTTACATATACGTATGATTATTTCGAAATATCAACAGTTGCAAGATTATAGAATGCAAACAGTGAACAGAAGAATATGAACAATCTTTATAATTAGAAAAAATTATCGCGTATCGACGATATATTAAACGTCTTATTGCGTCAAATTGCAATAAGTCTTAAGAATAATAAAATAATCGTGATATTCAAACGGCGTGAAACACGTGTCAAAACAACGGTCGCCATTTTTTATGTTTTTTGCGTTCTAGATTCCCGCGTATTTCCACCATACCCTGACAAGATCGCATCGCGCAAATAACCTCTATTCAATCGAGTAATAAACATCGACTTACCGAGCGCGTTCTCGGGACGACCGCGTGACAGCAAAAAAATAAACACGACGCGAGGAAGATTCACCGCAGGTTTGTAGAGTTTCCCGCGTGCTGCGAATGAACGAAGAGATTGCGTAACGCAGCAACTTGTTCGCACAACGAGTTCGATCCACGACGAAGGACACACTTGATTTATCGGGTAGACACGCGAGATAACACTGATACGTTCGCACAACGTGTCACGTGGAGGCAAGGACAATCCATTTGTTTTGATATGAAATAGGAAACGAACGGAGTCCGCACGAAAGTTAGAGAAGAGAGGCGCAACGAACACCTTCCACCGCGACGGCTGGAACGCGACTGACTGGCTGTGCCCGCTGGCTTACCGCTACGCATACGACCTCGAGTTTCGAATTACGCGCGGCTTAACGACTCTACATTCTGTATCTGTCAGTCTTACAGCTCGGAGATGAATACGAGGATATTACGTGATCATTTTCGAGCTGCCGTGTTCACGCACGTATACGTGAAAAGTCGATTTGTCCGTTCGTTCGTTTGAACGAAAAAATCACTAGATATCTTTTTTCTCGACAAAAGAATCGGGTATATTTTTGTATATTTTACTGATCTATTATAATGTATAATATATATATATCATACAGTTTATCCATGATGACTAATAATAGACTTTTGGCAAATATAGATTGAAAATAACGATGATGTCTGTTTAGTCGGTTATATCAAACATTTCAATTGCTGGAATATTGTTAAATTACGATACGCTTAACCGTAGTAATTTACCACGATAGTCGGGAAATCGATTGCGTTGACAACATAGGACAAACAGGGGAAAACCGATTCACAATAAGACTAACCCACGTAAATTCTATTATGTAGGAACCGTCTATTGTTCCGCGTTACTTGTATATATCGTCGAGAAACAAAGCAACAAAGGGATTAGCAAAATACACGACAGTGAGCAACATAAACAAATGATCGCTATCAACCCCAATGTGATATACGATAATAAAGCAGTTAACAGCATTCCCAAATAAAGGCTCGGAGCGAGAAAATCAAAGCCTCCGAGCCTCCGGGTATTAATCAAGGGAGCGGAAACGTAATCGGTGAAAATAATAGAAAACGAAATGAATGAAGAAAAGGAAGGAGTAATTATCGAGAATAATGAGAATCGGTGATCGCAGAAAAAAGATTTTTTATTACGAAATCCAATCAACTCGTGTAAGGAAGTGTTGATAAAACATTTGCATTAATCTTCGAATAAAACGCGTCGTATTATTATATTATTATTTACATAAAAATATCGCGATATAACTTGCATATATTTATCTCGTGTTAATTCTCGTTCGATATTTCAATCGATAGAAAATTCATAGTAGGAACATGAGCCTTACGATTAACGGCTTATGACCACTTCCACCCCTCGTGGAGCAACACGGCTTTATTTATTTTCCTCCTATTGTTATTAGGTGGAGATAAAATTTTCCAGGCATCCCCGTGATGATTCTCTCGATTGAGTTTGTAGAAGAAAAAAAAAAAAAAAAAAAAAAAAAAAAAAGAAAAAAAACACGTCAATGACAAACAACATCCCTTTTTCTTTCTTCTTTCCTCCCCCTCGATATACAACACTGTTATCTTTCTCGCTCTGCTTAGCTTTCATTCTTCGAGATACGCATGACTGACGAATACCGTGACGTTGAAAGTGACGCGTATACGGGACGAAAATAATGGTTACGACGATGACGATGATGATGATGACGGTGATGACGACGATGACAAGGCAACGCATGAACCGTGATGCGTCGAGTATGATACGGCTCGACTCATATCTGTTTGTAATATCCGTACTCTAGCTTATCCGTGTACGTTTCATGCAAATTCGGACGATGCAACGAATGGTAATCGTGTAGCGAGGTGACCATTCGTCCGTTTCAACTTTGACGAAGTTACGATGCCGGTGCTGAAAAGAAAAGAAGATAGAAGAATTATTATTATTTAGAGAGAGAGAGAGAGAGAGAGGAGGAAATTACTACTTCTTCATCTACGTTAACTCCCCCTCCCCGCTGATGCGGAAGGGATCTAGTTTTTGTTGGATTAATCGAGTTTTTCTTTTATTTTAGTCCTTTTAGCTGGTCGTTACTTTCTCGAAGAATTCAAGAATTCGCTCTTCTTCCACTTTTGTCAAAGTTTCGAAGATTTGTAAGAGGTTTTTCGGTATCCTCCCATTATTATTATTATTACTATTATTATACAAGCTCTCCGATGGATCGATTATTCATTGTCCGTTCGGTAAAAAAGTTACGGAAAGTTCGAGAGCGAGGAATTATAAAAGAATTATAAAAGTTACAGCATCTGCTCGAACCGTAGTTGATCGAGAAGATGCGAAAGCTTTGGTCGTTAGAGAGGTTTTAGTTTCTTTTGTCAACAAATACGTCATCATACGTTCGAGTATATAAGATGAGATACGATTAGTCAAACTACCTTTGTGCGAACGTTACTCGTGGCTGATGAGACTAGATTTTTAGTCCTCTACTAGAACGTCAACCTTTCATTATCTTAACATACCGTATGTGATGAACTTCGAACCACGAATTACTGGACGAATGACGGGGCTGACGTTCAGTGTAACTTTCAAAAGTAATATTACCTTAGCTAGAAATTAAGTTGAAAAAAAGGGGGATTAAAAAAATCGACGAGATAGAGACAGAGAGAAAGAGAGAAAAAAAGAAAAATAATAAACGAAAAATAACCTCCGTTCGCCTTTCGAAGCAAGGCGAGAATCGAGTTACAAAAATTACTGTTTTCGTAAAAAGAGAGAGAAAAAAATTGGTCAAAAAAAAACTGAGCCGAATTTCACCGAGTGATAAATGGCGGATAGAGGAGAAGCATTTGATTGATCCTGCGTTGAACGAAATGCTTAATCGTAATCGAGGCAAAGGGAGCGAATAAAGGGGAGCGGATTACCTTCGGCGGGCGGGGGTGCCGGCGCAGCTTCCGCCGGGGGCGCAGCTGGGGCAGCCTCGGCTGGCGCTGCAGGTGGCGCTGCCTCCGCAGGAGGCGCCGCACCTTCGGCCGGAGGTGGTGCCGGGGTTCCTTCCGCTGGTGGTGGCGGTGCTGGTGCACCTTCCGCTGGTGGTGCCGCGCCTTCGTAAATTCACACAAACACTTCAGTCACGCAAGCACTTCGGATTCTCGACCGATTAACACGTCACGCGTCATTAATTTAACAAATCAACAGAGATCAGACGAATCAATTGCAATTAATGAATTAATAAGTACAGATTTGTGAATAGGTTCCTTGGATCTCTTTATTATTAGGAAGTGTATCAAAAATTATGTTATGTTATCTGTAAAACAATCTCGTGTCTCGAATTTGCTATTTCGAAAAAAGGATTGGTCGAACGTGATTGATATAATAAATTAAAGACAAATCGTTGCAATTAATGAATTAACCATTCGAGTTGAGGAAAATCATTACGACATTTCGCGTGACAACTCGAGCGAGAAACGAATGATTTAATAATTTAATAAATGTGTAGTAACGATTTGTGAATAGGTTCCTTGGATCTTTATCTCTTTATTATTAGGAAGTGTATTAAAATCATGTTACGTTACCTGTAAGACAATCTCGTATCTCGAGTATGCTACTTTCTTTCTTTCGAAAAAAGGGTGGTCGATTAATTTAAGAAATTAAAGATCAGACGAATCGGAATTAAAAAATTTTGCGCTCGAGTTGAGAATGATTTAATAAGAGCACAGTATCTCTTTATTATTAGAAAGTATATGAAAATCGTTTCACGTATCTCGAGTATGCGACTTCCCCTCTTTCGAAAAAAGAGTTGGTCGTGATTAATTTAAGAAATTAAAGGTCAGACGAATGGTAGAAATTAACGAATTCACCTTTTGCACTCGAGTTGAGGCGAGTGATTTAATAAGAGCACGATATAGATTTGTTATTATTAAGAAGTGTATCAAAATCATGTTACATTACTTGTAAGACAATCTCATATCTTGAGTATGCTACTTTCTTCCTTTCGAAGAAAGGGTTAATCGAGCGTGATTAATTTAAGAAATTAAAGGTCAGACGAATGGTAGAAATTAACGAATTAACCTTTTGCGCTCGAGTTGAGGCGAGTAATTTAGTAAGAACATAGTATAGATTTGTGAATAAGTTTCTTGGATCTTTATCTCTTTCTTATTTAAGTATATCAAAATTATTTTACGTATCTTGAATATTACTTTCTTCCTTTCGAAAAAAGAGTTGGTCGAGCGTGATTAATTTAAAAAATTAAAGATCAGACAAATCGTTGAAATTAACAAATTTTGCACTCGAGTTGAAGTGAGTGATTTAATAAGAACACAGTATAGATACACACACACATATATCTCGAGTATGCTATTTCCCCCCTTTCGAAAAAAGAGTCGATTAATTTAAGAAATTAAAGATCAGAAAAATTGTTGAAATTAACAAATTTTACACTCGAGTTGAAGTGAGTGATTTAATAAGAACACAGTATAGATACACACACACACATATCTCAAGTATGTTATTTCCTCCCTTTCGAAAAAAGAGTTGATTAATTTAAGAAATTAAAGATCAGACGAATCATTGGAATTAACAAATTTTGCACTCGAGTTGAGGCGAGTGATTTAATAAGAGCACAGTATCTCTTTGTTATTAAAAAGTATATAAAAATTATTTCACGTATCTGGAGTATGCAATTTCCCCCCTTTCGAGAAAAGGGGTTGGTCGAGCGCAAAAGGGTTGAGGGGTTAGAGGGAAGCGAAGAAGGAAGAATGCGAGAGGAACGGATCGTTTGCAAACGAGTTTGTGAAAGATCGTAAAAGCTGGGACGAGATCACCTTCCGTCGGTGGTGGTGCGGGCGCCCCTTCCGCGGGCGGCGCAGGTTGGGCGGGCGGCGNGACTACATCTACTCTAATCTAAAGAGGCCCGGGTTCGTTTCGTCCCCGATGATGGAGCGGTTTGCTCGCGTTGTTATGCCATCGTATGAAAAGTGCAAACGTAATTAAGAGAAGCGAATATAATGAAAGCGAAAGTTATATATATATATATATATATATATAGATGATGTAAAACTACTGATGGAAATTGTGAATAATAGATGCTCGGTTGGTCGCTGCACTGACCTGGTGGGGGTGGTGGCGGTGCTGCCCCTTCCGCGGGTGGAGCAGGTTCCGATGGAGGAGCTGGCTCGGCGGGAGGTACCGGCGATGGCGTTGGCGATGGCGTTGGGGGTTCTGGCGATGGCGTTGGAGCGGCTTCTGGTGGTGCGGGTGTCGGTGATGGCGTTGGTTGTGGAGGTTCGGGTGGTGGAGCTGGTTCCTCCTACACGGAAATAATAATACTATCTATCTCCATCCCGAAATCTCGAAACACTTTCAATCAAAATAATCATGCTTCCGATAATTTTATTAGAAAAATACGAGCACGAAAAATGTCGTAAAACGAATGTTTATTATTTACTCGACGAGATTTCGGTTTGATTCAACCGAATTCGAGATAAAATTACACGGCGCGGTGCACGCGTTAAATCGTTTGATTTACGGTCATCGTGCATATTTCAGCGCAGCCGCGTTAAAGGTCGTCGTTTATAGACACACGATTCGTACGAGCGAATGATAATAACGCTCTCTACGCGACAACATTGGAGAGTTTGCCGTCACGGCGCGTGGCCGTTCGATAGTGTAAATCAATGGCCGTTCGCGATAACGAATATTGCCAAGATAATTAAACAATGCCGTTCCAATGATAAACAATGCTACGGTAATTTGAGTCCGCGTCTCGCGAACGAGTTTCGCGAAATTATACGCGGGTGTAATTCTGAACGCGCATTCGTTCTAAAAAGAAAAAAGGAAAAAAAAGTGTGAACGAAAAATCGGCTGACGGATTATCGCGACAGATGGCGTTCGTCTCTACGACGAAATAATACGATGACCGAAAACGTGAACAGTGGACGAAACGTAGGCGAGAAAGGTTTACAAGCTTATTTAGCGAATCGTAATTAAGCGTGATCTGATTGATGTTCAACCTACCTCGTTTCTCGATTGCGAATTCAATTTCTATGGATTATTCTTTTCGCGAGACTCGTGTTGAGCGAACGAGTGTCGAGTAAAAAGAAAGAAAAAAAGGAAAAAAAAAGAAAAAAAAGGAGAAATTAAATCGAACGATATCGACAATTTCGTGTCGTTCGAGGCGACACGAAGCTCGACTCAAGAGCCTTCGTTTCTTATGATATAGGCACCGTCGATATTCGTAAGACGTGGCGTAAAATTTCTCGGTTGAATGTACGCGCTTCGCCATTCGACACGCCTCATTGGCTCTTTGACGTGTTTACAACCTTTTCAAGAAGCGAAGCCTCGTGAACGTGATAAAAATTTCGTTTCTCGCGCGAAAAAGAATCTTAATAATCCGATGATTGAGTCGTAGTACGTGAAAATTAACGGTATCTCGAATCGCGAAACTTTCAACAAGCCTCCAACATGTTGACAAGCGCGAGATTACGATTCTTCTAATAAAAACGATAAATTTAATCGAAGGAGACAGTTCTGACGCGAAGAAACGATACGTATACATCGATAATCGTAATAATTACTTTTTACTTTATTTAGAAAAAGAAAAAAGAAAAAAAAAAACTGTCCCCTTTGATGAGTGAGAAGAACATAGAACATAAAATCGACGTAACGAGGAAGGAAGGAGAAACAAAATGGGATGATGGGAAGTAGGGGAATGAACACACAGCCACAATGTATTTCATAGTTGTTAAATATTTTGATTTACAATAAATCTTAAGTAACGATTTCCCTTTCTTGTTATTATTCCCAATTACGTTTCATTTCTCCCTTCATCCGGTTCACAGAGAATTACGAATCAACATAGTGATACATGAGTGAGGATTGACAGTGTAAAAAAAAAAAAAAAAAAAAAAACAAATCGACAGAGACGGAGAACGATACAGGGTTTTTGTTTCCTTTTTAAAAAAATATATATATATACATACATCTCGTAGACGAGAAGAACAAGAAGAAGAAGAAAAAAAAAAAAAGAAAAAAAAAGAAATCGGTCAGTCACAAAATTCTGAATTCTTTGGATTAGAACACGAATCGATATCCGATGGTGAATTCTCTCGATACAAATCGAGGAATTCATCGTAGACATACGGGCACATACGGTTTGATCTTTTCTTTTTTTTTTTTTTTTTTTTTTTTTTTTTTTTTTTTTTTTTTTTTTTATACGTGCATTTCGGGAGTTGCAATATTGTAATATTAATCGAGACGAGAAGAAACAAGAAGAAAAAAAGAAGAAGAAGAAGAAAAAAAAAAAGAATGAATAAAAAGAAGTAGCAATGAGGAAGTTTGTTGCTTGTTGCGAGATGTTATCTGGATGGATGGATGGACGATCCCTTCTCGAAAAAACACGTCGAGAACGAGCGTAACGTCAATAGCCTCATGCCTCGACCTCCTCCTCCTTTACCTTCTTTTCCTCGCCTTTCTTCGACCAGTCGGGCTTCTTCTGCAAAGTTTGAGAAAACGTACGTTAGATGGGCCGTTTCTTGGATCATAACACGATCGAAATTCTCACACGCCAGGGTCCGGGGTTAGCGGTGGTTCTTTAAACTTTCGCAAAGCGGTGTGTGTAACGGGTGGCATTTTCACGGGGTTCGTGGAGGGCGGGGGAGAGGGTAAAAGATTCGCGAAAAATTCACAAAATAAATACCGATTGTTAAAAATCGCTCGTTCGATCGATATATTATATCGATTTTTTTCTCTTTTGCTTTGGAAATTCAAGTTCGATTAATTGCAAACAAGAACCGATTCTTCTCTCTTTATCGTCATTCGAAAAGCCGTGCACAATGTTAGTGAAGAAAAAAAAAAAAAAAAAGGAAAAAAGAAAAAGGGGGGGGGGAAAAAGGGGCCCGGAAAAAAAAAAAAAAAAAGGAAAAAAGAAAAAGGTGCGAGAGAAAAAGTGTCCGTGAAAAAGAAAAAGAAAGGAAAGATCGATCTTCTCTCGAGTAACGATCAAAAATCTTGAAAAAAACGAAAAGAGACAGAGAGAGAGAGAGAGAGAAAAAAAAAAAGATTAATCTTCGTTCTAACAAAACGCGATTCGTATCGTTAAGGGGCGTTTTTAGCAAGCGTTTTACATCTAATCCTACGATATATTTTCTTGCGTTCGTTCGTTCACACAATCCCTGGTAATCTACTTCACGTTATCTAATAATAACACTCATTTATTATTATTTCATCTCTCAATCACTAAGAATGCATGCCGATCTACGATCTGATCGTTTAAAGCTTTACCTTATCTTTTGACGCGTTCTGCGAACATAATGCAAGAGCAACATCATTAGTCGACAGATAAGAGACATGGACAATTATTAGAGCGTATACATACTAATTAATAACTTAAAGATTAAGAGGTCGATCGTGACTCATTCGATCGCTCCAACTCCTCGTCCGCGATTCATTCGTTCGTGCGCTTTGTTCGATCGATCGATCGTGAATCACGTTCGACGAAGAAAGAAAATGGCGCAAATCGAGGCGTGCATCGAGCATCTCGTTTAATCCCTTTCTTCTTTAATCATCAGATATGTGTATATATATATATATNATGAGTGTGTGCGCGCTAATAATATAAATTTTTAATCCAATTCGATTGAT